GGACATCACATAATGGGGAATCCCCGAATACGATAGAATATGAAAGAATTATGGGAGCTACTCACTACTACTGGGTTTGAGAAATAAACATATAAAGGTGCCAGTAGGTCAAGGCCACTGGAAATCGAGGTTTATATAGATGTTTGTATTTTACATAGTTCTGTCATAAGCTTCATATAACATCCAATCCACACTTGAGCTCTTAAAGTGCAAAATCATGTTTTTGTCTATACGTACCATTATCATTAGACTTCATGGAGGCATTCGATTGACAGAGTCGATATATGATATTTCCAATTGATTGGTTTAACTGTATCCGAGTGTTGATCAACGTAAGATTCTCTAGGAAATGGCAGTTGATAATAATATTCTAAGATTTAATTCTCTTGACGCGAAGTTGAGTACCTGGCTGGTCGTTAATCAATACTTCGATGCTATTGTTGATGTCATACTTTATATCTCTTATACAATTGGAACTTCAGATGAACCTAATTACCGCCTTCATGATGATACAATAAAGATGCAATATATGATTAAGTACGTTTGGAGACGATGGGGGAGTTGTTTCTTAGTAAACTGTTTATACAGAACTCTTAAAAGGATTTTTAAAAATTTCCGGTCTTTACCGTCACGGCACTTGCGCTTACATAAGTATTTAACAAAGGATGGGATTCAGATAGATTTTATTGGTTTATCTTTCCTAATACACTGTTTGTTGATATTGCATGCAACAAAGATCTTTTTTGTTTGATTTAAGACCTATATAAGTTCTCTGAGTTTCTCTGATTCAAAGACAAAAACGTTTATGAGCAGAAAGCAAGTATGACATCATCAAAGTACTTACATTGAGATTCCAGCCTCAAAAAAATAAATACATTTACTGTTCATACTTACATCCTTGAACCTACTCGTGATGTGAAAATTTTATGATGGGCTGATTGGTATTGTGTTAGCGAGATGGTGTAATTTAACTTAAATACACAGTAATTAGGACTTGAAAGTAATTTTTAATGAGCATATTTGAAGTACAAAACAATAATACGGTTTGATTGTTATTGTTAATGAGATGGCGTAATTTAACTAGAATACAATCATTATGGCTTGGATCGTGTTTTCTTCTCATTTACTGTTTTCTCAAACACACGGCAAAATATGATTAAAGGAATGTTATAAAATATACAAATTGTGTAAATGTAAAATTCATAAGACAACCATTTCAAAAACCATGCAAATATTTTATAAAATTCTCCTTTTATTTGTTGATAATAATTTGAGATTTTATTCATATACAGGGTGGTCCAAAAATTGGACACTCGCATTTCAGAAATGAATATTCATTTTATTGATGAAAACATGTCATATTATATACCAGTAGATAGGGAGTTTAATTATCTTTAATTTGGTATATCATAAGTTCAAATTTATCATAATTCCTGTCAACCAGCCTCCATAATACAAATGACGTCATTTTCATTTCAAAACGTTTTTTCCAAAACTTGCAAAGATCAAGTTTTTTATCAACATAACAGTTGTTTAATATGTTCCCCATTTTGAACAATTATAGACCCCAATCTTGGCAGAAACTTGTCGATAGCATCATTGATATGGTTTGAAATAAGGAATTCCACTTCTCAACAATACTAGCTGTCCTAAAGTGATGTTAGGGGTTCATGGTACACCAACTCTGTTAGTTCTCTCCACACGTGGTAGTCGCGGGTGTTGGCATCAGGTGATCTGGGGGGCAAGTGATTAAGGGGGATGAATCAATATGTCCTACACAGATGACTCATTCCTGATTTCATATTCGGATCATTACATTTTCCAACAATATAGGACTCCAAGCCATAGATCCCATAAGACACTCAAATATTTTAAGGAGAAAGTGCCTCGATTCATCCCCCTAATCACTGCCCCCCCCCCACCGATGCCAGCATCTGCGACTATCACGTATGGGGAGAACCAACAAGATTGGTGTATCATGAACTCCTTACATATATTATGTCCCTTAAGGACAGAATTGTTGAGAAGTTTAGGCCAAGATTGAGGGCATTGTGAACATCTGCTTTTGTTGATATAAACTGGGTTTTTGCAAGTTTTTGAAAACCCGTTTTGAAATGGAAATGGTATCATTTGTATTATGTACGCTGGTTGACATGTATTATATATTAAATTTGAACTTATGATATATCAAATTAAAGATAATAAATTCCCTATCCGCTGGTAAATAATATGACATGTTTTATCAATAAAATCAATGTTTATTTTTTAAATAAGAGTGTCCCATTTTTGGACCACCCTGTATATTACATAGACGTTATCGAAAGACGTTCTTTCACTTTTCTGAATTATTCTGAAATTGAATTCGAACCATTGAACCTTTTGGAAAATTGTCACGGAATGATGAAAGCAATTATTTCTTTCTAGTTCATTTCAAAGGTTAGACATTACTTATTGCAATTAAGGTCAACTCAGACTTTTGTGAATGGATAAAAACGAAACATTGTAGCCATTCATCCTGCACGGGAGCACTTATTTCCCAATTTATGACACCATGGCCTTCAAGCAACATGACCCATCGTATAATCATTGTACCATTTATTTTTGCATCTAAATTACGCATTGCTGCATTTTCAATTAAGTTCAGTTACTGCAATTAGATTTACAATCGCCTCAAAAAGCAATTGTAGTTGTGGGAACATCCCAAGAGGATCAATTCAGATTTTGGCTTGAATTTCAGTCAGGAAATTAAGGGCCATGGATCAACAGATGACATTATAGGGTGATTTTATCACTGATTGTGGGTACATTGATTGTCTTATAAGCATTTTATGCCCATATTTCAAAGTATTTCAAGCCATGTATTATTCAAATACCATGTTAGCTATTCTATTCTCAGACCCTTCTTTATACACCGTGTATATGTATTGTACACTCCCCTCCATAAGCTTTGCAACCCTAACTCCCTCATTGGACTTCGTGTTAAAGCCTCTTTATGTTTGAATTTTTATTTACATAACCAGCAATGAAAATACTTATGATAAAGGTCGAAATGTAACTTGACTTCATTTCCAATGCATTTAAAGTTTAACTATCTAATTTTTTCTCAATTACAATAGGTCGAAATTAATGACAAATTTGATGAATTTTGGAAACTTGTCATTCCCATGTTAACCAATGGGAAATGGTGGTTTTGGGGCAAATCAGATTTCTAGATATCTATTCAGTAAATGCTTCACCAAAAAAACATTATATAGAAAATTGAATTGAATTTTTTGCACGCTAAGGGTTTAGTTTACTATCACTGGTGATCCACTCGATTACGCTGGTTACGAGAACAGAATCGTCGATTTAATTCTTCACTTAAGTTACATAAACGTTTTTTTCGAAAAAAAGATCTGCACTTTTAACCAAAACCGTTTATGTAACTTAAGTGAGGAATTAAATCGACAATTCTGTTGTCTTCTGAGCTATTTTTTCGCAAACATGAACATTTTCTAAAACATATGATACTGATATACGTTTGTGAGAAAAAACGTCGTGGGGATTCTGCCGACAACGCGTGAAATAAGGAAAATAGAAAAATCGTACCTTCGACGTTCCGACATTTTGTTACCAAAAACGAACCGTTTTGGTAACCAGCGTAATCAAGTGGATCACCAGTGACTATGTGAACATTAAAAGTTACAGAGCTTCAAAGTCAATTTGAAAATCATTTTTCGCCTCCTCTGTTATTTCAATGGGAGAATTTTTTTTTAAAAATTTTGACTTTCGAGATCTATAACTTTGTTTAACGTTTAGTTAAACTAACTTTGCAAATTCAATTTTCTATCTAACTTGTATTTTTGCAAGAACTCGGATAGATGGATATTCTGTCATTTGACTTGCGACAAACCTATCAGTTCCCATTGGTTTAACATGGGATTGTCGATTTACAAAACTTAATCAGATTTGTCATCAAAATCCGAACTATTGTTATCGTTGAAAAAATTTTTTCGAAATTATATTTCAAGCCTTGCAAGTATTATTTTCCTTTCAGACTATGCAAATATAAATTCAAACATGAATAGGCTTTAGTATGTAATCCAATGGTGGATTTAGGGTTGTCAAACTTACGGAGGGGAGTGTATGATGGATATTCCGATTTCTTGTATCTGTGATCTGTGTGTATCAAAGAAACATACATTATATTTGCCTCGGGATATCACTGGCTTCAGTATTGATATTATGATGACATTACGGCCACAATTTCGTCTCCTATTCCTACCTTAATAGTATGTGCCGAACACAAGGTTCTTGTATCCAGTTAAACGTCTTCGTCTTGTAGAATGACGGTGCCCTGCGTAAACAGGATGCCTTGAGGAAGTTGACGTTCCAAAAGCCCTAGTTTTATAAGCTCCCGTTTTTCTTATATATTTTGAAGTTTTTATAGCCTTATAACAAACAAACACGGTCCTATGGTGACCTCTAGGAAATGAATTCAAATTCAATAACAGACATCGTTGTATTTTGCGCCTGAGTTAGGATTAGATTCTGAGATCCAATTAAGTTTCTCAAAAACGTAATTTCCTTACGTTTAGATCTCGCATTTCTTTGTCATGTATAAAAACTTGAAATATACATAATGTAGACACGTTTCCAAACATAGAAGACATATTCGGTTCATATTTTTAATCACATAGACATATAAGCGGACGTTACGTTCGATCTAATGATTGTTTAACGAAAAAAAGTTGGAGACTGATAACAATGTCACCAACATAAGTCGTATGAAATCAAAAATAATATTTGATTAAACTCTGTTTATCATATAAGATATACAGAAATAGGAGAGACTGTTCTGAGGAACTTATCAACAGAAATATTATCATCACGCTTTCTAATTTAATCTTTCCAATACATCTTCAATACATTTAGGCATTTATGTTTAGATAATCATATTTTTTCGTTTAACTTTTACATATATATATTTATTGTTTTTCGAATTTAAATAAATTACTTACCGTAACAAATACAATGTTCAAACTCACCAAGAGTAATAAATTCCAAACCAACGTGGTCCTCTTGAAAAATCCTTCCTTGCTTATTTCTTACAAATTCCATTCCATATTTTGAAAATTACTAACGTAATCCTCAATATTAGAGGTCTATCAGTCTGAAATTCAATAATTGAATAATTAAACTCAGAGAGCAGAACTTATTTAATTGTTGGTGTCTCTCAAAGCTGTCTTTTAATCAGTTGTATTGTATCCAACTTGGTTGATTGAGAAGAACTAGTTTGTCGATGAAAGACAATATCCTTTATATTATCATACGGTTATTCATCTGTTAATTAATATGGACAAGTATCCAGGACTTCAATATATCTCGCGTCGCGTAATCACTAGCGTATATCGTGATTAGTGCAGTGTAATCACTAGCGTATATCGTGATCAGTGCAGTGTAATCACCGAAGTATATCGTGACTAATGCAGTGTAATCAATGAAGTATATCGTGAATAGTGCAATATAATCACCAGTACGGTGACTAGTGCATTGTTATCACCGGAGTATACCGTGACTGGTGCAGAGTAATTAACATTGTATATCGTGACTGGTGCAGAGTAATCACCGGGGTATATCGTGACTAATGCAGTGTAATCACCGGACTATATCGTGACTAATGCAGTGTAATCAATGAAGTATATCGTGAATAGTGCAATATAATCACCAGCGTATACGGTGACTAGTGCATTGTTATCACCGGAGTATATCGTGACTGGTGCAGTGTAATCACCGGGGTATATCGTGACTAATGCAGTGCAATCACTGGAGTATATCGTGAATAGTGAAGTAAAGTGCAGTGTAATCACCGGAGTATATCGTGACTAATGCAGTGTAATCACTGGAGTATATCGTGAATAGTGCAGTGTACTCATCGGAGTATATCGTGATCAGTGCAGTGTAATCAATGAAGTATATCGTGAATATTGCAATATAATCACCAGCGTATACGGTGACTAACTAGTGCAGTGTAATCACCGGAGTATATCGTGACTAATGCAGTGTAATCACCGGACTATATCGTGACTAATGCAGTGTAATCAATGAAGTATATCGTGAATATTGCAATATAATCACCAGCATATACGGTGACTAACTAGTGCAGTGTAATCACCGGAGTATATCGTGACTAATGCATTGTTACCGGAGTATGTCGTGAATAGTCGGTATATAATCACCGGCCTACATCGTGAGCTTAATAACTTTTTAGCGCTATATCCGCGAGAATGTATCCATGCTACGTATGAACAGATTACGTAATTCCACGTTTCATCAAAGCGCTGCTATCTAAGCTAATAGTGAAATATTATAATAACCGTTATTATTTGACTGATAATATAAATAAATTGAAGCCCTGCGCAAGTGTGAGAATTATCATTGTAATTATATCAAATCTATCACGTTTGTAATTATGATTTCTACATAGTGTTAATTACGTGCTGAGTAAATACCAAGCATTTCCTACGATGCTCGAGCACGAGTCAGTATACACCGCTGAGTTACGGACTTGTATATGATTGACTTCTGCGGCGCTGTGCAATTGAATGCTATCTGGGATTATTCATTAGAATCATAGAATACGAGAATAAACAATACCCGGGAGACGATCAAATCACAATATCATTTCATATTACCTAATTGTTCATTACGCAAGGTTTGCGTAGTTGTGTATCATCTTATTATACGAAATCAGCCTTCATTTAATACGTTGGTTTGCATTGGTTTCAAATTAGCCCTAACGCTATTGTCTATCACGATCGTAGTAACGTATAAAAGTTATGATTATTGCCTTTTAATGTCAAATTGTTTTTCGTGTATCCTTGCATAATTCCTGCGATGTTGTAATCATGCAGATTCCCTCCTATGTATGGCTCTCAAATCATCCGTACTTCGGATTAACTCTTATCCTATACTTTAATTACTTCATCATAGACAGGAAACACGTTTAATAACAATATAGATGATTACTATACACTTATTGGTAAGACCTATTGTTTTGCACAAAAACGCCTGTTTTCAATTAAATAAGATAATATTCCTTAACCGTTCACATAAATTTAAGTGTTCTCGAGAGCCGGATATTATTTCAATTCAATGGGACGCTGAGAGTGATAACTCTGTAAATTACTGTCTTGAAAGTGTTGATAAAATATTAAGGTCCTGTGATATATTTGTTTGATCGTGGATTGTGCTAAGATGAACCTCCTGAATACAGGGAAATCCAGCGGAAATATTTGTGCTATTCTGCATATATGAATATGTTATTTTCAATTAGCATGTTTTTGTCTTTTTTGTTTAGTGTCTCCACCTCTGCGTAATCAAGTTCCACATACTGATGGTATCAATTGAATTCAAGAAAATTACAAGTTGATAGAGGAGCGTGTCTGATGAAATAACATAATGAAAAGGCTTTTTCATCAAGCATATTGTCATCAAATGTCACAGTAAAACTATTTTTATTGTCAACCTTTATCAACAGGTTTACACTCCCCTCCATAAGTTTGACTGGCCCGACAAGTTTACACACCCCTCCATAAGTTTGACTCGCCCGACAAGTTTACACACCCCTCCATAAGTTTGACTCGCCCGACAAGTTTACATAATCCTCCATAAGTTTGACTCGCCCGACAAGTTTACACTCCCTTCCAAATATTGCCATGCCTGGCACGTTCACACTCCCATCCATAAGTTCTACATACCCGACAAGTTTGCACACCCCTCCATAAGTTTGACTGGCCCGACAAGTTTACACACCCCTCCATAAGTTTGACTCGCCCGACAAGTTTACACTCCTCTCCATAAGTTTGACTTGCCCGACAAGTTTACACACCCCTCCATATGTTTGACTCGCCCAACAAGTTTACACTCCCATCCACAAGTTTGACATACCCGACAAGTTTACACACCCCTCCATAAGTTTGACTTGCCCGACAAGTTTACACACCCCTCCATATGTTTGACTTGCCCGACAAGTTTACACTCCCCTCAATAAGTTTGACTTGCCCGACAAGTTTACACTCCCATCCACAAGTTTGACATACCCGACAAGTTTACACTCCCTCAATAAGTTTGACATGCCCGACAAGTTTACACTCCCTCAATAAGTTTGACTTGCCCGACAAGTTTACACTCCCTCAATAAGTTTGACATACCCGACAAGTTTACACTCCCCTCAATAAGTTTGACTTGCCCGACAAGTTTACACTCCCCTCAATAAGTTTGACTTGCCCGACAAGTTTACACTCCCATCCACAAGTTTGACATACCCGACAAGTTTACACTCCCTCAATAAGTTTGACATGCCCGACAAGTTTACACTCCCCTCAATAAGTTTGACTTGCCCGACAAGTTTACACTCCCATCCACAAGTTTGACATACCCGACAAGTTTACACTCCCTCAATAAGTTTGACATGCCCGACAAGTTTACACTCCCCTCAATAAGTTTGACTTGCCCGACAAGTTTACACTCCCATCCACAAGTTTGACATACCCGACAAGTTTACACTCCCTCAATAAGTTTGACATGCCCGACAAGTTTACACTCCCCTCAATAAGTTTGACTTGCCCGACAAGTTTACACTCCCATCCACAAGTTTGACATACCCGACAAGTTTACAATCCCTCAATAAGTTTGACTTGCCCGACAAGTTTACACTCCCTCAATAAGTTTGACATACCCGACAAGTTTACACTCCCCTCAATAAGTTTGACATGCCCGACAAGTTTACACTCCCCTCAATAAGTTTGACTTGCCCGACAAGTTTACACTCCCATCCACAAGTTTGACATACCCGACAAGTTTACACACCCCTCCATATGTTTGACTTGCCCGACAAGTTTACACTCCCCTCAATAAGTTTGACTTGCCCGACAAGTTTACACTCCCATCCACAAGTTTGACATACCCGACAAGTTTACAATCCCCTCAATAAGTTTGACATGCCCGACAAGTTTACACTCCCCTCAATAAGATTGAAACGACAAGTTTACACTCCCTCAATAAGTTTGAAACGACAAGTTTACACTCCCCGCCATAAGTTCGACATGTCAGGCAAGTTTACACACCCCTCAATAAGTGTGACATGCCCGACACGTTTACACTCTTCTCCATATGTTTGACATGCCCGAAAAGTTTACACTCTCTTCCAAAGAATTACCATGCTTGACACTTTTACACTCCTCACAAAAGTTTGACATACCCGACAGATTTACACTCCCCTCCAAAAGTCTGGCATGCCTGACAGTTTTACAAACCATAAGTTTGACATCTACTACATATCTGCACTCCCCTCCAAAGGTTTTACATGTCCGATAGGTTTAAACCATTACGGACGGACCCGTTATGTTGATAACCCTACTATCACACCAAACTACATGTAATTCTTACTACATTCTCGAAAACGGGCTTAAACTGTGCACGAACGGATTTGACGTACTAAGAACCGTCTAGGGTCTGTTTACTAACTTTATCAGACGCGACTACCCGAACGAGTAGGTCATCCAGAACTTAGAGCATGCTCAAAATTTTCTGGCGACGTTTCTGGTGACGACTTGGACGCACTGGGGACACAATACGAACTGAACTGAACACTGACATGGTGCGATCTGAACGAACTGCGGATATATTTTATGGACGTATTGAAGACTGTTTGTGAACGAAGTAGCTAATTCTTTTAAACATATTCCACGACTACAGCCAGATTTAGCCCGTTTTACGGCTTTTTCGTAGGACTGGAAAGAACGGTTGAAAACTAGTTTGGTGTGATAGGGGGGTAATATAACCAGCATATGTACTTGAAGAACGAACCTAAGGCCACCGTGATAACTATGAGGTTCAAATCAGTTGGAAACTAAATGCAGTTCTGATCTGTTCATTAATATCTGTCTTACTTGTCAAATATTTATGATAACGTCAGATCCGCAAACTAAATTCGACTACGATAAAATTACGCTGACCAAAATAGCACATGAACATGGAGATTCCGTGGATACAAATTGTGATAACTTGAAGTAGACTACGTTGTTAAGCTGTGGCATAAATAGCATCAATCAATTTCAAGCGAAATGTACGTATGTAATAATTGCTATAAATGGTAAATAATTATATACATCATCAATCTGTATTCTTGTCACAGACGATTCGATGATTATACAGAGTGAGTTAAGAAAAATGCCGGTGTGAAAGAAATTATGGTCCCCCAGGGATTATGG